CAGAGGATGCAACAGGCAAATAAGAAGAATCAGAAATAAAAGAATCCTCCTGAATTGTGGTAGACTCTGGTATAGATATTGGAACTGCTACACTGCTACTATTATGTCTATTACTAAAATTTGGGAAGATATTTGGGGAAGATAATCTATGTAAATCCGATGTATTATATTGAGAAGTTACTTCTTGGAATGATTTGGTGTGGTGTGTGTTGGTTTTTTGGGGACAACCCCTTTCCCTTTCCGACTGGAAGATGGGTTTGGGTGGCTTGACGTGGTGGGACCAGTGACTTCGTTTGATGTAACGGTTTGATTCCCTGATGGGGGTGTGGACGGAGAAAACGCTCAGGGGACGGACCTCCGATCGTTCGTTTCCCGAACACTTAAAACAATTTCGTTTGAAGGTATTTTCCCTACCACAACCGTGGCAGAAAATACGGGTACGAGGGATGCCGCAATCATAAAAAGTATGACCAGACTCACGACAATTCCAGCACACTACAGAACTTAATGTGGAAATATTACGTTCATGACCTTTGGATTGCCAAGAACGGTGTTTGGAAGTATCTAGGTGACGTGAAGAGTTAAAAGAAGAGGGTCGAGAAGTGGAAGGAAGGTGAGAAGACCAAGATAAAGTTTCTTCTAAACGTTTACACTTCTCCGTAATATCAGCAATACTAGTGATATCTACAAGGGCCAACTGCTGATGATAGAATGGCAATAGACATTTGAGGATAATCTTAATCTTTGCAGAATCTGTCAGAGGTGTTTCAAGGCGACTACACATACCTAAAATAGTATTAATGAACATCGTAACAGACTCGTCTGGCTTCTGTTTACGGTTTTTAATTTGATCTAAAAGGTCATCTTGAAAAGAGTAAGGTAGAAAATCAGACTTAAGTTTCTGAGCTAGATCAGACCAATTTGAAAAGTTAGTGCGGTTATTCATAAACCACGTAAAAGCTGTGCCTGTAACCAACTCAGCAGAAGCTGCAAAAAGGTCATCTTCACTCACTCCTCTTGATATGCGAAGACATTCCACCCTATCCAAAAAAGAAATTACTTGGTCATAATGACCTTCACCAGAAAATGTAATCCCCCATTTATGAACCTGAACGGGTTTGGGGTGTAGAAATGCATTTGCTGCTTGGATAGAAGAGATTGGAGTTGATGTTGCTATTGGACTCACTCGAGAATCAAGTTCGCCCTCTAGACTTAAGATTCGGACAGAAACAGAGCGTTGGAAGATTTGTTGTGCCTCATCTGAAACAGATAATAAATGAATACGACCTGAGATGTGAGCTAGACGTGATATTAGCCTGGAATATAGGCTATCTTGGACAGTCCCTCTAAAATCGGCTATCCTTTTCGCTAAATCATCCATAGTCTCCTCAATCTCCTGTTGTTGGACCTCAAAAGGAATATTTGAGGCAGAAATCTGCCGAAAACTCCTGTTTCCTTCTTCCTGCCTTAAAGCTCCACGCAATATTTTGCGTTTAAGATCAACATTGGAAGACTCATCAATATTGATGTCCCTAATCCTTAACTCATAATCCAATTCCTTCACTAACAAATGTTCTACCTTGAATGCAGACATTATGAAAAAAAACCAAATAGATGAATAGATAGAATAGACAAGGAGATAATATACTCACACTCCACAAAACAATCGAATAGTAATATAAAGTTTTCAAAATATATATATATATATATATATATATATATATATATATATATATAAGTAAGTATGTACCAACACACCACAAAATCAATCTAAGAATAATCTAAAGTTATTCACAAAAAATTTCAAAATGGTTAAGTAAGTTAAGTAAATATAAACACAATCCTTGAAGCAACGCACAATGGTTTTAACAAGTATATGATTAACAAATACTTGAATATAAAAAATTCACCAATATTGGCTAATATATATATGTATAAAAAATAGTAATATCTAAATTATTAAATTCTTAAAGTTCAATAATAGTAAGATAGATAGTTAACTGTACACAATGAGATTAAAAGGTGAGGGTTTAAATATGAATATAAGTAAACTACAGCAATACAAGTATATCTATAAATGTAAGTCTAATAAGAAAAAACAGTAAATAAAGAAGTTAAAAAAAAATGAACAAAGAGCAACAGGAACAAATTAGAAATAATAAAGAATATTTTGCAAAGAGAAATATACTTCAGAATGTACGGTCTGAACTGAGAAAAGGCACCACGTTGGGAACGCCAATGTAACAAAAATGGTTTGGCTGAGTCGCCAATATAACGAGAATGTGTAGTAAAGATGTGCAAATAAATAAAGGGTAAATATGAATATTTAAGATATATTAAAAATAATGTTGGCTAGCGACTATGCAGGAGAATGACCACTTGACACTCAAGAGGGATTAGGCCAATTTGCATGCCCTACAGTGACCGTAGGATATAAGAACTAATGACCAGAAATCTACCAAGAAATAAACAGATGAAAGATAAAGTTACTCTACTGAATGTTTGGGCGCCAGGAAGTTAAATGGTTTCTTCCGAGATATCTTGTATTGCTGAAATAGAAAAAGTTGGGTACTAATTGAAATATTAATTTTTTAACCACAACTTTAATAATTACCCAAAACTTATGTACAGACTATGTTAAATACTTATCTATAACCCACCACCTCTTATGTACAATTAACTTATCTATATTTACAGTAAAATCCCTGAATCCAATTATAAAACAATTTCCCCCGAATGTACTTCTTAATTTTAAATGTTGACAAAGGTTATGCTCAATAATAATGTATAAATAATAAATATAAAAAAAATGCTACTCACTAATAATTTAGTTTTCGTTAATTAAATGTTTAAATTTTCAAATGAAATGAAACTCTCCGGATACGTGTGCACACAATAACCTGACAAAGAGAGATTCAAGGGAGAGTTAAAACCTCATCCCTTGGTAGACAATAGATAATTAAATTAAGTTACAATGACTATTATTTTAGAAAAATTGAATGGATTTATTATTAAAGATATATATTTAAATTAAAGTAAAGCAAAAGTTAAAACCTTGAAGAGGATGTTGCAAAAGTTATAAAAAATATTGGAATGATAAACAAAAAACAAAATAAGTTCTTCCTGCCGGTTTCCGTAGGTTGCCCTGGAAGATGATCCGGTGAAGAACTAGACTCCAGTGGGTAAAAGTATACCAAACCTGGATTCCATGTACATATAAACCAAAATCTTCTTTAAATCCCCATATAACTTAAAATTTCTTCCCCTTCTCCTTAATAAACATAACCCCAAAACTAAAGGTTTCTTCCCTGACTTGTGACTGGATTCCGGAAGTTGGCGGCTGAGGTGGTCCAAAACTTAAAGTATCCTCGTACAAAACACCCAAAAATAACTTAAATTGTTGCCTTTAAATCAACAGTTCTTCATAAAAAAAAATAAACTTAAACTAAATTCCTCAAAAATGGCACCTCCCAGCCGCCACTATGATCGATCGATATGTCTTCGATCACACCCAGTCAACAAGTAATTCTATTAACACTTACAAGTCGTCAAGTCGACGTACTTTCAGAATCTTACACCAGAGGGCGGGATTTAATGCCAACCTTAGAAAGTAAAATTTACTGGGAGTTATTTAAATATTCAGTTTAAGAATATTTCAAATATGAATTTAATTCAGAATTAAATTAAAAGACTCCAGTCACAAAAAAGGTAAACGGTTATTTAAGTAACGCACTCGTTACACCCTGTTCTTACTTCTAATCCTGTTCTTACTTCTAACCCTATGTTCTAAGCCTTAACTTATTTTTGATTAGTATTATCACTCCTGCCATTGCTCTACATTTCTTATTAACTCCGTTCCAGCAGTGGATATGGTCTTCTATTGTTTCCGTTCAATTTCCTTTCTTTTTGGTTTCTATTGTTACTAGTATGTCGATATTGCTTTCTCTAAACTCCCGTCACATTTTTGTTCCATCCTTGTATATCACGTTGCACATATGAATTTTCCAGCTTTGAATAACACTGGGTCTTCCAAACTCTTCGCAACATTGCCCCCCCCCCCCTCCGTATCGGATAGGAGTCCCACTATCTGAGATGTGGATTTCCACCCGGGGATGTGATTATGTCAAATAATCCTATTAATTTACAGACAGCGTGTAAGTATGAACTCACTTGGCGTACAAAGGTTGTAGAAATGTATTCTTGAAATCGAAAGTTGTGTTTTATAATTACAGGTGCATCCGAAGAGTAAATCGGAAAAAATTGCTGCGGATATCGAGAGTAATTTAGCATGGTTTGTTAGATGGATGTTAGAACTGTTATCACGGTCATATATCGGTCTATTTTGAGGTTATGTATGACATTAGCGTAGGAATGCGATGGATAAAGACGACTGGAGAGAAAATTTTGAGGATGCTAGGATCCACGCAGGGTTGTAAAGCCTAAATATTAATGATGATTCCATTGGGTGTTTAATCGATGCCAATGTTCCCTACATTAAAAAATATTATAGCTATTATTGATTACCGTATTTCTTCCAATTTTATTTCTTTATGTTTCTTATTAGTTCTCAATCATAAGTTTTCATTGCTCTCCATATTATAATCGGTGTGATATCCCGAAGTGGATTTTATAGCAACCATGAAATTAAACCAAATTAAGTTTTTGGTAGAAATTGGCTACTACGATCCCCATGACAATCAAATAACTTATATAATTAAATTTTCATTGATAATATATAAGAAACGTTTTAAATAAACAATGATGTCTTTAGTATATACTCATGAGTTATTAATCTTCACAAGTTATAACAACAAATTATAGTCAATGTTGATTAAACTCGCAACAAAAAAGCGAAGTGAAAAATTAAAAAAAGATAACTGGCAGGAAGAGCCTACGATCTTCAAGACATTCTACTAAAATAGAATTATTTAAATTTTTATTGATAAATAAATAAAGAATATATCTATATAAAGTAAATAATATATTCATAATAGTCATACCTGAATCTGAAGCTGTAAATCCCATGATAACACAATATAACCAAAAATCCCGGAACAGTTTATGAATACGAGGTTTCGGATTTTTAATTGCTGGTAATCGTCGTAATAATACTGCTATAACTGGTATAAGCACTCCCAAGTTTCCGGCTGAGCTTGAAGCTTTCAATGCACCTAAAGAAAATATATTTGTTTTGAAAAATTGTCGAAAATATTGAAAAATATCTTGGTAATTATGGTAAAGTAGAAATCGGTTTAATATACTCCATTCGCTTAGCTCGGGTATATTTTGACAGACTCATTGTCGGAAATCTACAACACAACAATTCCTACTTCTCAGTATAGTATACTATTATAGCTCAAGTATACTACTATTGCAGACTTCTTTCTTTGTCAAAAAGTAACTAACTTCGCAAAAAAATAATTACTAAATTCACTAGACAGTTCGGACTGGGAATAGCGAACCGTGTATAAGAAATTTTTGAATAATTTTCCTTTAGTCAACCAGCTTTCATATTCTTCACAGCTTTCCATATTCACGTATATTCTTCTTCTTGATGTACCTATCCGTTGCGAATTTTGGCAATCACCATGGCAATATTTATCTTATATCCAGCAGCGCGGAAAAGCTGCACAGATATTGTATTGAACCAGATTCTGAGATTCTTTAACCAAGATGGTCTTCTTCTTCCTGGACCTCGTTTTCCAAATATTTTTCCTTGGAGGATGGCTTGAAGGAGAGCATTTCGCATAATATGTCCGAAGAATTGTAACTTTCGAGATTTAATGGTGGTCAGTACCTCTCGGTTCTTACATTCTTCTGAGGACCTCCTCATTTGTGACTCGGTCAGTCCACGGGATCCTAAGTAATCTCAGGTATAGCCACATCTCAAATGCTTCCAGTTTTCTGCATATATCTTCGTTCGAAGTCTACAATTCAACACCATAAAAAGGAAAGACAAGACGTAGCATCGCAGAATTCTTACTTTTGTATCTAGCTTTTCCATTTTTCATTTATTATGGCGCCGAGGTAGTTGTAGAGTTGTAGTGCGTCTCTCTTTCTACAGGGGATTGGTTGACGTAGAGTTTACCTTCTGTTAACCTTTTCTTGTTAATTATCATAAGCTTTGTCTTCTTAGCGTGTATATTGAATCCATATTGATGACTGTAATACGTTATTTTGTTCATAAGAACTTGTAGGTCTTCTAAGTTGTCCGCAAATACTATGGTGTCATCTGCATATCTGATGTTGTTTAGCCGGTTTCGGTTTCGTACAAAGCTTCGATAAATATTCTTTCAGAGTACATATTGAAGATTAGAGGAGACAAAATACAACCTTGCCCCACTCCACGCATGATTTTCACATAATGAGTGTGTTCACCTTCAACTCTGAGATTTGCTGTCCGATTCCTTTAAACATTTCTAATTATTTTCAGATCTTGGTTGTTAATTACTGCTTCTTTTAGTATTTGCATCATCTTGGCGTGCTGTACTCGATGACTTGTACTGAGAACAAAGCCTCTCTAGTACCAACAGCATTTATGAAACTGAACTGGTTGGGGGAAATTTGACTTTCACACAGCTTGTAGATTCTCTTATGAATTATCTTTAGGAGCAATTTTAGAAGATTAGTCATGAGGCTTATAGTACGGCAATCTTATCATATATACTAATACATCATAATGCGAGTGATTTCTCATTCACCGGAGGTACTACCTTTAAAACTGTTATAAATCTTTAGACAGTATGTACACGTGCGTCATATAAAACTGGTAAACATAACGAAAAATCGTATAACTCAACGTTGCCATCACAACGAAAATATTTATAAAATAAAATGCAAATGGTACCTACGCATAGGCCTTTCCAAGTGGAGATATGCCAACAAGAGAGATGGAACAGAGGAAACTCACAACACAGGCTGCATATTTACGACTATAAAAAGATTGTCATTGTCGGTTACCACATCGGAACATCAAAGGTACAGCTTGCTGATTTCCTTTCTACTCCGAAGTTTGATGGACTATAGACTATTTTATCTACATTTTGTTTACATATTTATTAATTTTATACTGGCATCACTGTTTATTTTCCTATGTTTGATTTTACGTTTTTGGCAATCATTTCAATAAAAATGTTACTACAGATATTGCTTGTGATAATAGTTCATAGTTTTTCTGTTTATTACATTTATTCTCAGTTTATATCAACAAATGTAGTGTTTTGTTTATTTTCGTATAATATTATTGGAGTTTATTAAAAAGTCCTGAGGGCATACTGTTTGACATATTGTTGATCAATTTGTTTTTATTAATATTATTTCATTTCGCCACATTTTAATTGTGATATTATTTAAGTTTAGAGTGTTGGTTTCACGGTTGGAAGAAATTGTTCTGCATTTATTTCCTGCTGTTCATCCTTACATCAGCACTCGTTTTCCTTGTTATAGAATAAAAAGGCTTTTGATTTAATTTTTTAAATAGAATCTTTTTGTTGTTGTTGTTCTGATTTCTACAAGCTGTTGTTCTTGTAGCCATTGAACTGAGAGTGCGCTTTATTTTTGCCACTTCTTGTTTGCTTAGTCATTGTTTCACCGAAAGGATCTTGTAATGGAATATTGGCAACTCTTTCTACCTATAATGGATGATGTGATAGAACGTTTGGATATCTTATTCTTAAGCTATTTTTTGTGACATCTTAACGCAATTTACCATTTTTGTTATGAATAGGCCACAATGTTATTTTAACATTTAAAATTTCTTTGACGTTTCGATTTCGATTTTTAACATTTAAAATTTCTTTGATGAAATCTTGATTTTAAAGTAAAATTGTGGCTTATTCTCAACAAAAGTAGTAAGTTTGGATACCTGCCTCGACGTGTTGTTTTTTGGTAAACCATATGTCCCAGATAGCCGTCCTTTTGTTTGATAATCATGACGCCTAGAATTGGAAGTTCTGTGAAGTGTACAACTCCAGTTCCAATGTGAATTCGAGTTTCTGCTCGATAGTTGTTGCTGAAATTTGATACGTTCAGATGTTCCGCGTGGCCAGATCTTAAAAGTATGCCGGTTATATATCTAATTCATATTTTTGGTTTTAGTCTTGCCTTTGCACAGTTGTCTTCTCAAAATAGATCATGGAGAGGTTTGGTACTGGCAGAGATAGCACACGTGACCTATTTTGAGAAAAAAGTTCTGCAAAAGGCAAGGCTAAACTCAAAAATATGAATTTAATACTTATAATCTGATCACAAAGAAAATCTTCTCAAATTTACACATTTTTTCATTCTAATCCCACTTCCACAATTTGTATCTCTAAACTGGTTACACATATTTCTATTATTCTATAAAAGGGATACGTTTTACGATAAAATTCTCTATATATACATCAATAAACTGTTTTAATTTGACTTCCAAATTCAATTCTATAATTTACATATCTATAGAGTAACCAATTTTCAATTTTGATGATTTCCTATACCTCCTGATGTCCCGCAATTGCTTTAATTCTGCTTCATTCCAAGACAGTCTAAGTTCTTCTTTACTTTCGTTTTAAGTTCAGTTAAGTACATCATTTTTCATATTTTTTAGTTTTCATTTATTGATCTCAGTTGTGCTCTCCTTTATTACCCATGAAGAGTATGGAACTATAATGTGTACATTGATAAAAGTCCCATTTATAACAAACATTTTCAACTATGGGTTTCATAAGTTTTCATAGAATATACCTACCTGGTGATTTGTCGCTCGCCCTTTTGCCTTCCAAACCTAATTGTACGAAAAGTTCCAGAAGTCGCCCAAGCAGTTCATTCATTTGTGCTTCGCCTGATATATTATCAGCAATATTTGCTAAAGCATTTATAACCGATCTTGAAACATGCCTAAAAAGTTGATAAATATGTGGTTATTTGCTAATTATAATATTCAAACAAGTTAACTAACCAAATAATCGTTCTGATGATAACAATTATGTTGATAGTGTGGGTTATTATTTAAGATACGGGACAGTTAGGTAAATATGTGCAATAGCTTTTACATAGGGTTGGAAATCCAAAAATAAACATTTAAGTATGGTTATATTTATATTACAATATATTCTTTTGATTCAACTGGTTAAATATATGTTTCCAACTTACCTATATTGCGTCTTATCATTGGTAGCGGCACCATATGCAGCACTTCCGCTTTCTACAGTAATCATGGTGAACATTTTCATGACTACTTCATAAACATGAGGTTCGCACTGTGCTATTATCATACATCCCAATTGATCAACTATCAGCGAATCTAAAGCTGACGGTACTCTACAAAACCTCTGCTGGAAGAAATGCAGAATGGTATCTGTCGTTTTCGGAGTGCCTTTCATTGACACCGCTACATGTCCCAACATTATTACGATGTTCGTAGAAATTAAAGTTGATTCGCTAAAATTTATAAATGCTTTCGTTTAAATGATGAATTGTTTGCAAGTATATATCCTTTGAATACGTAAAAATAGAAAAGGAAAGACCCACTCACCATTGATTTTATGGTAACTTGGACCACCAGTTTCGGACTCTACAATTGCAGCCCATTGTCAGGCTCCCAACGAAGTTTAAACACTACAAAATAGTGTTACAGTTGTTATAGGCTATTAAATATGTATCGTTATGCAAGTTACATGTATAATATACTAATACCATATAAATATACTCATTATAGACTTAGTCTTGCACACAATTTATTTTTGATAACTTATAACATCTGTAATATTTCTTTTGTAGTGGTTAAATAACCTTAATCAGGGACCTGATGATGGTCTAAAATTGTAGATTCCGAAACCAGTCAGAATTTGATATCCTTTGGGTACAAACTTCACCCTCAGTATCTTCTACTAACTAAAAGCATGGCTATTTACCTACTAGATCGAGGCCAAGTAAGTCACCCATCAACTTGGAATACAACCGTCAAATAATAATTATAAAATATAATTTTTGACATATTTACCTGTCGCTCTTTTCTGCAGTAAATAAACGATTCGATACGGAAGCAACTAGAGCTCTAACACAATCAGGATCTAATGTATGAGCTGCACTTAAAGCTATACATAAATTTTCGATGGCTGCGTCCCTCAATTTTTCAAATGCTGTCTGGACGGGTGACAATGTTTTCGTGTTTTCTGCTTTCAGTTGATTACCTTGAGCTAAAAAATATAATTTGATTATACTTGGTAACTAATCATAGTATACGATATAACACTGCAAGGTCAACAACTATACATGTAATATTTAACTTCTCTTGTTCTTCATCTTTTTATAGACATGACTCTGTTTTTCAACGGGCCTACTGTAAGTTATCGTTTCATCGTTTTTTCGTGGTCTTCCTACTGATCGTCATCCTATTGGGGAACCGACTCTTGCCGTCTTTATTTGTCTTGCCTCTCTATTTGTTGTCATTCGGCTTATATGATCGTTCCATTCTACGCTTCTATTTCTTACCCAGTTCTTGATGTTCTCCACCTTGCATATATGTCTTATATCTATACTTCTAGCTCTGTCCCATAGTGTCTTACTATCAATTTTTTGTGTTGATCAAGTGTTTTCATCTCAGTTGTTCTCTCTGTCAGGCCTTGTTTCTGCCGCGTATGTCATTATTGGTCTAATGACCGTTTTGTACATTCTGCCTCTCATTTTTTTCCCGATATTTTTATTTCTCCATATTGTTTCATTCAGGCAGCCTGCGGCTCTGTTTGCTCTATTCACTTGATCTTCCACTTCAGTTTCGAGCTTTCCGTAACTAGATAATGTGATGGCTAGATATTTAAACTGAATAACTTGTTCTATTATCTGACCTTGGAGCTCCAATTTACATCGTAGTAACTTTGCTGTTGTAACCATGCATTTTGTCTTTTTTGGAGAAATTAACATGTTAAATTTTCTGGCGGGTTTATTAAACGGTGCAGCATACGTTGTAAATAATCTTCAGTTTGAGAGAGTAGTATTGCGTCGTCTGAATAGCAGATTATTATAAGTTTTTTTCTCCCATTTGGTATCGTTTTTAGTTCTTACTTTTTTATTATTTCATCCATAATCAGGTTGAACAATAGAGGCTCAGGGAATCTCCCTGTCTCATCCCATTGGCGGCTTCAATAGGGTCGGTTAGTTCTTCTTCTACTTTCACTTTTATTGTGTTATTTTGGGAGATATTTTCTATTCTTTTGATTATTCCTAGAGGTATCTCTCTAACGTGCAGTAAGTGGATAATCTCTTTTAATTTGACCCTGTCAAATGCCTTCTTAAGGTCCACAAAACATATATATGCCGGTTTGGTGTATTCTAATGATTTCTCTTGTACTTGCCTCATTATAAATAGCGTTGGTGCATGATCTTCCCGACCTAAAACCTTGTTGTTCTTCTGCTAGTGTTACAATTTCATTCAGTTTATTTGTTATCACTTTGGATGTTAATTTTAGTGTTGTGTTTAATAAATTAATTCCTCTGTAGTTTTTCGGGTCCGATTTGTCTCCCTTTTTTGTATTCTTGGGGAATTCTGTTTTGTTATATTATTTTTTGGATTACTTTTAATAGTTTTTTTATCTCTTTTCTGATCCTCTGATCATTGTCCATATTTCTTTTTGTGTTCCGTAGAAGTCGTGATCCAACTGTTTTGAGATAATATTTAACATGCGACAGAATCCTCTTCTTTTAAATCGGACAGACAGAGAGTACATAGAGTACCTAGACACTACGGTACGTCATTTGCGAAGGAGTCCATACAAAAACAGCTGCCGTCCGTCAATACACAGATAACTGGTAGACCACTTTAAACAGTGTTTTCAGGAAAATTCTTCTCAAAACTTAGTTGTTTTTTATATGCTCGATATACCATTGACCGTAGTCTCCTCGCTCGAGAGCTGTTTTCATGGTTTCTTCAGAGTATACATAGTATACTATGATGGGTATGTATAGTGACGATAACACACAAACCTATCGCGTCCCCTGTTCTATTGTCAGTTATAGCGTCTCTGTCATTATTAAACCTATTTTTGCTAACTGATCGTTATAAAACATGTTTAATTTTTAACTTTATTAAAAATATGGGCCTGTCAATAAATAAGGAAAAAAATAAAGCAATGTCATCATAAAGCAGATGAAAACTTACTTTTTACTTATCTAAACATCTATTATATCTATTAACAAAGTATCTTCTGGTGGTATCTGTGAAAATTGGATCTGAAGTAGACACAACTTAATGTTATTTATATTGATATATTATACTAATACAAGCACATACCAAGAGATGTACAGAGCATCTAACATATTACAAAACAAACCTACCAGATGAATCCTTATGTCACAGCCCGAGAGAGGTAGACCAAAACTTGGACGAGAGGATGGTGGAGATGACGTGCTAGAAAATTGATACAAGCCACTAAACGATTGTCAATGGATAAATCTGAATGACGAAGAAGATCTGAGAAGGTCGAGGCTCTACAAGGCTATAGCACCAGTGAATTTTAATTAATCCGAATGACAGGCATGTCCTCAAAACAATTATTGCAATAACAAAATATACTGCTGCAATACTTCTCTCATTATTAATAATTAGAATGTATTCAGCAGATTATTATCTCAAATGCCCACCGTCAAAAATATTTACTATTTTAGCTCTATTAATTTTATTTTGTCTTCAGTTATCAACAGTTTCCACTTGAAACATCAATTATCTTACCAGTAATTTTCAAATTGTCTCTAATACCCTTCTCGTTAGCTTGCCTATGGAGTTTGGATAAAATCGGTGAAGGGGTTATCAAGAAATCCCTTAAACAGTATATCGAAGTAGAAGCTATATTTGGAAATTTTTGGGCGAGATTACCCAAACCTTCTAGGCACACCATCAACAGTGGCATATGTGCTATAACTAGTCGGTATCCGTGATTCGAATTGATTTTTTCTGTTAATCTACCACACAGACTGTCAGCACCTAAAATTAGTGAAAAAGGTTTAAAATATTATAAAGGCAACAAAGTTAGTAATTATTCCCTTAATATTCGAGTAATTTTACTATTTATTATTTATATACTACTATTGTAGGATTATGTTCAAAAATAAATGACATAAATGTTGATTAAACAGACTACTGTAACATGAACAGTGTTTGCAAGAGATATAATAGTAAAGTATTTGATATTAATTATATATAATGTTTAGGTTAGTGCTTCAAGTGATTTTTTTCGATTGAGTGGGAACCGCTCACTAAGAAAATTGGATGATACGCCGAAATGCAAGCTCAAGCTTAAGGTATGTGTCAAATGTAAGTCTTGTAAATCGACTAAATTGTGCTTGAGTGACGACTGAATTTATTTTAGAATAAATATTGTATAATATCTCTCGTGCATGATAATAATCCTAAAGTGATAATATATTTATATATAAAACGAATTAAGTAAATAATCTCTTCTCCGGAAAATCTAATTTCTTTCTTAGGTTTAAATTTTTGAGTATTTTCTTATTAGACGGTGTTCTGTGAGTACTTTCGTTATTATTTAAATCATACTTTGTTTCTGACAATGAACTGATTAAATATTTTACTGTTGTTGTTTCCCAAGAGAAAATGTGACTGGTTCATTGCTTTTCAGTATGCTTTTTTAATATCTACTTATTTATTTAGCTCTTCTAAATGTTGCTAATCCCGTAGTTTCTGATCAGGAGTGTTTGTGCTACCATTTTTGGTAACATCTACCAGTTTGTCGCTCTTTACTGCACTCTGATCCGGAACATGTAGCACGTTAAATGTTTGCTTATTTCATGTAATTTTCATTCTAATACTAGTTTGGAGCTCATTACATATCACTGAAAATCTATTTATAATAGTGTAACATTTTTTTATAGTTAATATATTAGATTATATTTAATACCTTTACCCCTGTGGTCGAGATACGCTCATGGTAGATTTACCATCGGCAACATTTTACTGAACCTACCGACTTCTCAGAGAACGAAAGGTTCTAATTCTTTCCTTTTTAATCCTGAGTATAAAAGGAACTAACGCTTTTCGCTGAAGGCGGGTTCTTTTGTATAAATTCGGTAAATATCACCGAAAGCATGTTATAGTAATTTTTCTGAAGAGAACGTAATTCAGAAGATGTTATTTTGCTTACGTCCAGTTACTAGTACCGTATTTATCTCGAACTTTCCGATAGTCGTTAGAACAGACCTTTTTAGAAATACATACAGGAGAACTTGTCGTTTTTGAGTGGGAGATATCCCACCTTTCTTGGGTAGTTTGGTAAATTTTTAGAGGAACCAGATTACTTCTAGTGGGGCGATCTTTGAGGACAGACCCTCGCTCATATTACCGTCTCTGTGTTACCTTTGTGCATTTTTTCTCTAAGTGTGTATACACTTAAATGTTTGAGTTTTTTTATCTAATACCATATTAGATTAAATATTGGTATAAACTACTTTTAATTTAAATAACTTCAGTGTTTAATACAAGTAAAGTATGATAATAGCTTCAGTGCAGTGTAGCAGTCATCGAGAATTACTGTAAGTTATCATAATCATAGTATCTTCAATTATCTGGGCAAATCTACGTCGGCTATCTCATCACCTGTAGTTAGGGTTAACTACCGATGTAACAATTGAACTAAAAGAACATTTAATATTTTCTTATGAACTTTTAATCAACTTTAAGAACTTCTAATAAATCATAATTACGAACATCTAATTCTCCGTTAATCATTAAACAACAGTGCGAATAGATAATTAACTAAAACCAAGTGCGAGTGGTTTAATTTTTAATATACAGCATTCTTGAACCCTTTTGTATTCTTTGAATTTAAATTTAATCAATTTTGTTATTTGTTATAATTGTTATTAATTTTTTTTAACTGTACCCGTTATCTTGAGATACGCCCATACGCCCAAAGAGAGCCTTCTCCAATCAGTTTTAGCTGAATATTTTAATCACTATCAGGCTCTCTTCGATGATAATTTAATTTGTGTATGATTTCATTATATTGTATTTGTAAAGGTAGTTCTCAATCATTAGACTGTTTATTTCTATATGTATACAACCATTGATTGATTGATGGTGTATTTTTATTACTTGTATGTACCCTCAGCCGTCTATATTGTGTTGTTGAATATATTGTTTTTGTTTTATGTATGATTTTTATTTGTCGACTCCTAACAAGTTTTCTAATATAACAATACCTCTGAATATTTGCTTATTATATTAAATTATTATTATACCTTCGACCAGAAGAAAGATCAGGCTGATTAAGTTTTGTAGGTAAGTAGGTGGACGGAGTCCACCTAATATATTTATTATTTATTTATGTAGTGTGTTGACCAAATTTATTTAATTATTAACTGTTAATATCTTTCTTGGATTTGATCTCTGAGCCTACATATATTTCCTTATCTCGTTTCTTTTCTAAGGTTTCTTAATTTTCTCCTTAAACCCCAAAAAGGTAAGTGGCGTCCTGTTTCTATCTTATCTTATCTTTGGTAATTTTACCCATGTATATTTTTGTTTACTTCTGTAACTTTTCTCGTATATATTATCCTGTCCTTTACTTATTTTGTCCGTTGGACCCATTCCCTGTTCCAAAAGCTAGTTTCGAACCCACCACTCGCTCTCCACCAACCACCTGGCTGCCGTTCGCAGTGTCTCCATTGGTGACGTTTCTAGCACCATCCAAAAAAGGTTTCCGAGGTTACAATAGAACTACGAAGATTACAACAATCTACACCTTTTTAACGAAACATAAAAACAACATAAATTGTTGTTTTAGGCATATGTATATTTTAACCAAGTAATTTGTTTTGTTAGCTTTTGAAACAAAAAATTCTTCTAATAATTTAATTTTTATCTGGCTCATTCATATTGACAATTCAGACATATTGTAGCATTTTTTTTATTCCCATCATAAATTTTTTTTAAGGTTTTTATTTAACACTTTGGAACTGCGTTTTAGATTTTCGACCAAGTATAAACATAATCCAATTGTTAATTAACATTGACAAATGTCGCTAGCGAGACCAAGTGCTATCCTTTTTTAATATCTAATTTCTCTCTCTTTTAATCTTTAAGACTTTAATCAGTGTTACATTTTTAATTATACATCACGCATCTCGCCCTTTGCTCACGTCAGAAAGATTCATTGTAGTAATTGATTCTCATAAATTATACACTAACACTTTCATTTCTTATATGAGGAGTACCTAATAAAAATCATGAAACTGCTCCATACTTTTACAAGATAATATAACTATTCCTTTAAAATCTAAAAAAATCTAGCTGATTAAACAAAAAAAAAAATAACACCAACAGACTAAAGAAACAAATCTGTGAGTATCGGTACAATTTAACAATGTTTTTTGTTTTTGTCTATTTTTATTTACTGGTCAAAATAGAACACATACTAACATATTGAGATTGATACCTTGCTTTATCAATTTTTTTTCAATCAGTTTTTTTTTAATTTTTGCAATTAATTTGGCAATTACCTTTATAATGATTTGTCAGTGATAGTTTTCGTTTTCGATAATGACAGTTTTCTACATCGGTTTTGTCCTTTTGTATCTTGCAAAACACCACCATCTATACATTTAAGCTTTGGCTTGCCATGTTTTTACATTTAATACAAGTTATCCACTAAGTAACTTACAAAAACAACTAATATCAAAGGAATAATTACTTAATAATAATAACTAATAATTATGGATAAACTGTTAAAACGGTACAGGTTATTATCACTCAAATAAATACAGAAAAATCTGGACATAGCAACTACTTTCTACTTATTGTAACGTCATAGTCAATGTTGGAAACTTGATGTAAGAGGTTTACACAAATATCACATTATATAACACAACATAACCAACAAACGCAGTGTGGCTTCAAAATTCAAGGTTCTGTTCTAAGGTTGGTTCATGCGCCACTGCAAAAACTGAAAAGTAACAGCCGATTTGCATTAGTTGCAAATTTCAACAAGTCTATGACATGTTTTCATCTCAAATGTGGCTTCAGTTTACACTACTTGATCAACGGGGTAGAGAAATATAACTGCTCATTGGTTACGTTGTGCTACAGGCATATACAACTTGTTATTACCGGTAAAAAGTTTTGTCTTCATTGATAAAAGGTGAGTCACAGCATTGTAGGAAGCTTAAATTATAAGTATCACAAATTAAGGTGAAAAATATAAACAAATATTAGTAATTAAAAAAATAGCTTCTATTTTTAAGTATGATCAATAACTTACAAATCGAATAGTATTAAATATCATAATGGGAAACGGGCGAAGAAAAATAATTCATAACGATTGAAATACTATACGACCGAAATAGATTGTTTCTTCTTTATATCTTCTTCTTTTAGTGCCGTCTCCACTAATGAAGGTTGGCTATAACCATTGCAAATTTGTCTCTATCTTCTGCTTTTCTTAAGAGCGTCGGTGTGTTTAACCCGGTCCAGTCGCGAACGTTTTTCAGCCAGGATATTTGTCGTCTACCAGGACCCCTTTTTCATTCGATTTTACCCTTCATAATCAGCTGCAACAACTCGTACTTATCATTTCTAAGTATGTATCCCAAATATGCTAGCTTTCACCTTTTAATGGTGGTCAAAAGTTCTCTGTCTCTTCCCATTCTGTGCAACACTCCAGTTTTCTCATTAGGTCAACATTAATGGTCGAAGCTTCGACACCATTTAGAAGAATAGATTGGATATAACATTTTACCATCCGATATCGGATTTGCAGATTGAGTCTTTGGTTACTCAGAAATTTCCTCATCTTCAAAAAGGCTTCTCTTGATTGCCCTATTCTTGAGCGAATTTCTAATTTCGGATTCAGATCTTCCCTAAATCAGACTCCTAAGTATTTAATTTTGTCCACTTGCTCAATATCTTCATTTTTTATCTGGATCCTTGTAATGACTTTGCCCCTCTTACTGATAACCATTGTTTTTATTTTGTTTATGTTTATTGTTAAACCAAATTATTCCCCAGTATCACAAATTGTGTTTAGTAACGTCTGCAGGTCTGCCTCACTTTCAGCGATAATGGCTTATCATCAACATAACAGATGTTATTTACATTTTCACCATTTATCTTGATCCCTCCTGTACAGTTTTCAAGTGCTTGCGTAAATAACTCTTCGGAATATATATATATTAAATAGTAATGGTGAAAGTACACAGTCCTGTCTCACTCCTCTAATCTGTTGCGCATCCGTGCTATTTCCATCTAATGTTACCACAGCCTGTTGGTTCCAATAGAGGTTTCTCACTATGTTAATGTCATTTTTGTCGAGTTCTTTTCTTTTTAGGCATTCCTTAGACATTCCATGGGAATATTATATTTAATTTTGTCGAAAGCTTTCTCATAGTCCATAAACGCAACGAAAAGATATTTTTGATGGTCTCGACATTTTTGGACAAGAGTTGTGAAACTATACAGAGCTTCCACTGTTCCGAAGCCGTTAGGAAAGCCAAACTGTCTATTACTCATATCCGTCTCGCACTTTCTGAATATTCTTGCATGTATAATATTTAAAAATGTTTTTAATAAGTGTGACATTAAGCTGATTAATCTATAGTCATTATAGTGTTTGGAGTTCTTGGTTTTTGGTAGCGGAACAAAGGTCGATAGCAGCGAGAGCGCAGTCGATTCTGTAGGTATCTCACCAAATTTGTATATGTTGTCAAAGAGAATAGTTATTGCACTTAAATTGTCTTCGTCTTTAAGTTTAATTAGCTCGATATGAACTTCATCTGACCCAGGTGCTCCGCCAGATTTTGAGTTCTTTATAGAATGTTGGACTTCAGATTTTAATATTATTGGAGCTTCCTCGTTACCAATTTGTGTTGGTTCCGTTCTTGTGTCCATGAAAAGATCTTTAATATATTTAATCCATACTTGTTTTATTTCAATTGGGTTATTAATAGGTTTATTGTTTTTGTCAATTAATCGGTTAGGTGTATTTGTTCGTGATTTGCCAGATAATTCTTTCACTTTTTTATATAAATTATAATGATCATGCTTTGTCTGCAATTCTTTCACTTCGATGCATGTTTCCATCATCCACTTTTTATTAGCCTCTTTTATTTCGTTCCTTATTAATTTATGTTTTTCTCTGTACTTATTTGGGTTTTTGTTTCTATATTTTCTTCTTTGTTCCATGATTTCCAGTATTTCTTGAGTCATCCAAGGTTTTCGGCTTTATGTTTTCTTTTGTAGAGTTTCTTTCTGTGTTTTTATAACAGAATCTTTGATTTTGCTCCACATAATGTTCACATCCTCAGTGTTTTTCATTTCTGATGTTAATTTCTTGATTGATACAAGTTGGAGCCTCAGCACGGATTTCATTTATCTAGAGTAACTGAGTATTCACCTTAGAACTTTTGGATTTTATTATCTTCTTTATCCTCAGTTTCATTTTTGAGACAAGGAGGTTATGGTCTGAGGCATGGACGTATAAATAGAGATCATGGATCTTTATTTATACGTCCATGGTCTGAGGGGACATCTGCTCCAGGAAAAGTCTTAACGCTTACAATGGAATTTCTAAATCTTTGATTAGAATGAAGTCGATCTGATTTCTAATGCAATTTTGTTCATTATCCTGTGGTGACCTCCAGGTATACAGTCTACGGGAGTCTTCTTTATATGCCTTCTCTATTACTAATGATTGGTGAAATTGGAGCACTTTATTCTTCCCCGGTCCACTTTTGTTTAATCTTTATCTTCATTATTAGACATAGAACACTGTTTCGCTCTCCTCGATAAATAAATTTTGAATATCTTTCATCATGTATTCTCATAATGCTAAGTAATTCTCTACCGGTTTCCATAATTTGTAATCGCTTTGCGTTATATTTAACAAATCTTATCTTCCATTTATTATGACAAAATCTAAGCTGATTTCTGACTAGTCTTTCTTTGTTATCTTGCGGGTATATAGTCTTCGCATGGGAAGTTTGTAGAAAATGTTTGTGATTATAAAGTTGTTCTGTTGACAGACAATTGTAACAACCTGACACCTCTTTCATTTCTCATCTAAGTCCGTATCCGTCTACATGCTTGTCGCAATTTCCTTTGCCAATCTTGGCATTGAAATCGCCCAAAGTAATTGTAGTGTCTCTCGACTTTGTTAATTATAGGATTCAATTCGATTAAACTCGATCTCTTCGTCAGGTTTGTAGGCGGTAAGGACATATACCTATATATTGAGTTAAGTTGAATCATTATTGAAGTTGTTGTATCATAATTCTACCAGATATAGCGTATTGTTATCAGGTATAGGTTTACGATATACGAACTGCAACTCCATTTCTGCGATGGATCTCATTATTGCCAGAGAAATAGATCTTACCGTTTGTAGAGTTAAAATGACCAGCATTTGGCCATCTGGTGTCGCTAATACCTATTATGTATATGTTTAATCAGTGCAAATCTTGTGTTACAGGTTTCCAGATTCGTACAAACTTATAAAATTCCATGTACCGATTTTAAACACGTTTGTATTTTTATTTTAGATTTCATTGCCTCTGATTAATTTCCAAATATTTTCAGGTGCCCTTTGAAAAAATGTACTGATATATTAAGCCGGTAACTTATTACAATTTAAAACTTATGATAGTGATATTTTAAGTACCCATAAAGTAAATATATCTGCAAAAAACATTAAATAAATTTAATTTTATTTCATACATCTTTTCGCACTTGCAAAGTTCCTAATATTGACGGTGACGTCATGCTTTATTTCAAAGAAAACAAGACAAAATTGTATCAAAATATTCAGTAATAACGTCAACAGTGGAATCAATACCCTTTTTTCATTTAAAGTTTGTGCAGAGCCTGGCCTCTGGTTTGTTCTGGCCTCTTTATATTATTTGTAATATTTATATACTGTCGTTGTATACCGCACTTCTAAAATGACGATCAGATCGGATCTCCAAAAGCAAAAGTCATCGTTTGCTAAATTTTACAGCAATAAATTGAGAGGTTAAATAATGCTTAAAAAATATCCAATATCCATTGTAAATTACCAAATTGAATAAATAGTTTAAGGTCTGGAAATTAATAATAAATAATATCATCAAAACAATTCAAAATCTTAGTTATAGTAATATCCTGCCTGCTAAATCAAACTAACTTCCAATATTCCCAACAAATGAGGCAACCGACAAATTCAAAAAGGAAGGTATTAATGTAACCTTCCTCAAAAAGATTGTCACATTGATGATAAAACTACTAGGAGGTCTGATAAGTTCTGGTGTCGCCCAGAGATCGAAACACTACTTACTGCAGGCAATTCTTTTATGTAGTAGAAATTCACGTGGTATTGAAAATGAAAAAAATCGAGTATCGTACAATGATGCAATTTTTGGTAAAAGAAGTTATAACATCGATCGAAATTAATTGGCTGCTTGTAAATGTCTATGGTCACCTTCAACTTTCATCGTGTTTAAACGAAGCTGTGAAACTGTAGATGAACCAAAGACTGCAATGAAGCAGTCCAGATAAGCAGACAACATCCAAAAACTGCAACAATAGCGGACATAATCGACACAGTGCATGATACAGTTTTGAAAGATCGGCGTATAAATGTACGTTAGATTGTTAATAATCAGGATTATGTTGATCATATCTTAGACTAGGAATTAAATATGAAAATGCGTTTTTGGAAAAAAATTACTTTATGCGTCGAGACATTACAATGGATGAAACAAGGACTCACCAGTACAGATCCAAAGCCAAACAACAGTTGAAGCAGTGGATAGAAATAGATCGTACTGGACAGTGCGATCGGCCGGAAGTCATGATGTCGGTGTTTTGATGCGAAAGAAATAAAGACTTTCAGATTGCGTTTTTACAGGCTACTATATGTATATATGACTAGGATTTTGCCAAAATATTATATTTAATTATTAATTAATGTTGATGGCTCTGTTGGTTCCACTGTTGACAGATAATTTATATGCGTTTGGGGTGCAAACCTAGAAAAGTAAAAGCTCTCCAAGTACAAAATAGGATGGTTGTAATCAAACACATAAAAAAGTACAAAAAAAGAGGCAAGGTTATCACATAGGGTTTAAAAAATCAAAGGCAAAGCTTTTTTCACCTAAGATTATTAATATGAAGTGCACTAAAGTAGTAAAATTATATTCAGAATCAACTGTAAAGAAACAAAGAATAGAAATTATTAAAACTATGACAAAAAAAAAAAACAATTTAAAAAGTAAGAAAATTGGTAAAATTTGAAAGGTCGTGATTTTATGTTTAAATTAGAATTACAGTAGACACCCGTAAGTTCGGCCTCGATTAGTTCGGTCTCAGCTGAGTCCGGCTGGCTCTCTGAGCATTAGTCACACACTTGGCGAGCGCCAGCCAGACGCGAGCAGGTAAAGCGCTCATCTTTACGGTAGGCCTACAGTCAGTGATTCTTATTTCACTTGTGGTTTTTACTGTTTATATAGACAGTATACTTGTGCGTGTGGACAATCACTATTTCGCGCCGTGCATTAAAATAAGTAAAACGTGTAAACGTAAGTACAAGTCAATGGAACAGAGACTACAAGCTCTGGAAAGATTGGATAAAGAAGAATCCGTGCAAAGTATTTGCAGAGATTTAAATGTGGGCAAAAGTACAATCAACAGCTGGAGGCGCAATAGAAAAACTAAAGGCTTTTGTATACAGATTGAAACTGAAAAAGTTCTACAAAAGCGATGCACACTGAGAAAAGCAAAACACGAATTGGTGGAAGATGCTCTGTGGCTGTGGTTCGTTCAAGAACGAAGACGAGGAATCCCGTTAAGTAAACCAATCCTAAAAGAGAAGGCTATGATCTTGCACTCAAAGCTTCAACCAGAAGAGGTATTCTCAGCTAGTGAGGGAGGGATCTCCCGATGAAAAAAGAGGCAGGGGGTCCATTTTATTGGAGTTTGTGAGGAAAAGCTGTCAGCACACCCAACAGCGGCCAAAAATTTATCTGCAAAATTTTTAAAGATCATTGGTGACCAAAACTTGAATCCAGAGTAAATCTACAACATCGACGAAACTGGGTTAAAATTTAGACTTCCACCCAGAAAAACCTTTGCCACCCCACAAGAAGGATTTGCGGCAGGATTTAAAGTTAGCAAAGAGAGGATGACGGTCGCCTTGTGTTCAAATGCCTCGGGGACTCACAAGATACCCCTATTTGTCATTGACACAGCAGCAAAACCGAGAGCGTTTAAGAACATAAACATGGAAATTCTACCAGTGTATTACCAGTCGCAGAAATCAGCATGGATGGACACATATGTGTTCAGGAAATGATTTTTGTGCGAATTTGTTCCGAAAGTGAAAAACCATTTGACAAAATTAAATCTGCCCATCAAAGCACTTCTACTGCTTGACAACGAGCCTACTCACCAGGAAGGTCTTCAGTGTGACGATGAAAAAGAAATTAAACTGCTGTTCCTGCCACCCAATGTAATCAGTCTTCAACAGCGAATGGACCAAAGGGTGATTAAATGCTTCAAGAGAAAGTTTCACCCAAAATTGCTTTTTGAAGTTCTTTCCAAACTGGAGGCTGATGACAACTTAGACCTCTTAAAAGTGCTGAAGTCAGTTAATATGAAGGATTTTGTGTACATGTCGACCAAGGAATACGACGAAATACCACGTCTACGTTTGTAAAATCTTGGAAAAAACTTTGGCCAAATATGGAAGATAAGATTGACCAAGCAAACACATCAGCAGATGAGCCAAACAATATTCTTGTTAACGAACCTGATGACAATGCAGCTCTATTACACGACCTTCAGCAACTACCGAACTGTGGTCTCATTGTTGAAGAAGATGTTTTGGAGTGGATAAACTTTGAAAAGGAGCTACACAACGAGGATTTGAACGACGAAGAAATCGCCGAGTGTGTCATTCGCCAAGAAAATGATAAGGGTAACGACACAGATGCTGCTGAAAATGAAGAGTAAGATGAGGAAAATAAAATGAGCCACGCTGAAGGCAAAGCAGCTTTGCAACTGGCAGCTACCTACGTCGAACAGCAAAAAGAAGCAACTGCCATCGATGTAATAATTATTAACATGTAGCGTGATTTTGCACATCAAAAATCATTAGAAAAGAAAATTCAGAAAAAAAAACTAAGCCAAACCACCAATGTGCAATAATATTTTAAAAATTTTATTAGGCCTAGAGTTCTGTACATATTGTTTTATATGTATTTTTATAACGTTCTATCTTTACATATTATGTGTTAAATATATGTTAGAGTATTCCTCTGTGTTGTCTTCTAAGTGTTTTGTTTTTGCTAGATGCATACAAACAATAAATGGGCATTTTTTAGACAAGCATCGGTCAGTTCGGCCACTTTTAAGTTTGGCCTAGGGCCTGGTCCCGAGGTGGCCGAACTTAGGGGAATCTACTGTATGTATATATATTTTCAATTGGTATGTTAACAGTGTATCTTATGAAGTTTGTTTCTTTGAAAAAAATGTGTAACCTCTTATCCGTTAACACACGTCTTTCATCTTCCTTAATTATTATTCTGTTTGTGCGTTAACGATTTGCTAATACTTTTTGACAATATATTACCTTTTTAACATCAGATTTGTTTACTTTTAGCTTTAATGTTTTACGCGTTTGCGTTATTATTTATTTAAATTTAATCATTAATATGGTAATGGTGGGGAGCTATTACACGAGCGCTAATGCCGTCCGCTTTGTCCGCGTTGTCAACGCTACGGCTACTTATAGATGATGCACGCTTTGTGTAAGACATGAACTGCTCGTTGCCGTTGCCAATGCAACCAGCCATGCTAGCAACCCTTGATATCGGGATAACACGGACTGGACGACGGCAATATCGTTCGTATAATTTACTCCATGGTAGTGCCATTGTCCGGTTGGGCCGACGTTAACACCGCGCTACTAACGCGACATTAGCGCTCGAATAACAGGGCCCGTAATATTTAATTTTATGTAATTTTCAAAAGATTATTTTTTAATCTTATGAAAATGCGGCAGTCTTTTTGAAACTATTGTTTGGTTTCATTTCACTGGTTTGAATTTTCTTGCAATGTCATACTTCTGAATACAACACTACAAGAGTGTTGGAACGCCTACTGTCCTGTCTTTTTTCTTCATTAGACTGGAACTCAAAACACTAGTGGTGTCCACCAAGTATGCAATATACAGTTTTATATTTTGTTCCAGCAATACCTTCCACCTCTACATCAAGGTTCAATTCTGATCGGAATTATAGAACATCGCACAATAATTGAACAAACAACAGTGGCGTAATTATACCATCTGAGGCCCGAGACTAATTCATTGGATGAGGCCCCAAGGAAATTGTCACATTTTTTTAAATTCTCATAAATTACTGACATAGTTACCCAACACTAATGTTGTATCCATTTTAGATAATATCTAAATAAGATTCTTTTCTCCAAAATTTATGTTTCGCAAAAGTATCATTAACATCATCAAAGCTTAAGATCGGGCCATACAATTTTCAATAATCAGAATAACCAAGTTACGCAGCCTGTTTTGCCCCATAGAGTTTCTTAAATCATCACCCAGCCCCTTGCGTCCACTGCTGGACATAGGCCTCCCTCATTTTTGTCCATTGTGAGATCGTCAGTCCAATGAGTAGGGGGTCTTCCTCTACTTCTTTTGTCTAACCTCGGCCTGTATAATATAATATAACTGTAGTTCTTAATCTTCTTTTCAAGTTTAATAGTTTTAGTTTAATAATTTCTTTCATCTGATTTGCAATTTAACAGAATCATTTTCGTTAGCGCTTTTTGGGCTTCAACAAACAAACTTTTACAGCAAAAATAGCATCACAACGTACTGCTCATTTAGTAGGGTACAATGTTTATAAAACTTGCAACTATTGATGCTATGACCAAAAAAATTAGGTTTCAAAAAAATGTTGCATATGAATAACCTCTCTTACTGCAACATTAAGTACTAGATTTAAGTTATGACCAGCACAGTGAATATGTACCGCATTAGATTCGATATCTTTTATGAGTTTTTTGAACTTCACCATAATTGTCTCATTGTGTTATAGTGTATTTTTATGTATGAGAGAGTAATAAAACAATAAATTATGTATGCAAATCCCTAAACTGTTGATACGGGTGACTCAATGAAAAACAGATATTTGTCAACAAGTTTACAGAAGTATATAGAAAAACAATTTTAAATTGAGTATGACCACCAGGTATAAAGGTTGGAGCAGAATAGAATACAATAGTTGTGAGGGTTACTAATCCCTAAATAAGGTTGCCAGTGTCGGAGTGATGGAGGTTAACAGGTACTAATGAATTTGCAAGAAATGTAAGATGTTTATTTTTTTGGTTATATATAACCAATAAAAGTTTAATAAGTACCTACCTATTTGCAAAATAAAGTTTAATTCTTTAGATAAAATAAAACGTTTTATTTTATCTGAAATGAGTGCATTCCACGAAGTAAGGGTTTCAACAATAAAACATTTAATTCTTTTAATTCCAGGAATCTACGACAGTAATTGACTAGATAATTACCTTCTAAACTTATTCCACAGAAAATGTGATAGTGGGTTTTTCCATTTTGTAGGAAGGTCCAAGTGGCGTATTCAAAATTCTTAACAGTACACTAAAAGTACGTACTTCAGTTGCAAGGTGCAGTTTATTGTGTATACTAGTGTTATGGAAAATTTGGAAGTGCCGTGTAAACGCCGAAAAATTGGTCCTTTAACAGTTAATGAAAACACATTGCAGAGTTCGCTAGAGTACAAAGGCTTCGATGGGCTGGTCATGTGGTACGGATGGATGCCGACAGATTGCCGAGAAAGGCCTTGGATGGTAAAATGCAGGGCAGAAGACCAAAGGGAATACCACGTAATAGATGGGAGAACGAAGTCACAGCAGATGCGCACAACTTACTGAACGTCAGGGCTTGGAGACGAGTGGCGCGAGATCGCCTTTGTTGGAGGCAGAAGTTACAGGAGGCCAAGGCTCAATTTGGGCTGTAGCGCCATTGGAAGAAGAAGAAGAAAACACATTAATATTTAATTGTTTTAAATCATTTACAGAAAAACGTTTATGTGAAAGTGTTGATGAGACCGTTGAGTTAGTTAGCAGTACACTTGGTGTTGGGAAATCTACGATTTACAGAGT